CGCTGAGCTGTAGTCAATGAATAGCATTCTCACATAGGTGTTCCTTTTGTCCAGCTGTGAAAGGGCAGTGTGGAGCGCATTAGGTATTGCATCATCTGTGGATGTGTTGGGGCAGTATGCAAATTGGAGTGGGTCTAGGGTTTCTGGGATAATGGTGTTGATGTGAGCCATGACCAGCCTTTCAAAGCACTTCATGGCTACAGACTTGAGTGCTACGTGTCGGTAGTGATTTAGGCAGGTTAACTTAGTGTTCTGCGGCACAGGGACTATGGTGGTCTGCTTGAAACATGTTGATATTACAGACTCAGACATGGAGAGGTTGAAAATGTCAGTGAAGACTCTTGCCAGTTGGTCAGCGCATGCTCGGAGTACACGTCCTGGTAATCCATCTGGCCCTGCGGCCTTGTGAATGTTGACCTGTTTAAAGGTCTTACTCACATCGGCTACGGAGACCGTGATCACACAGTCGTCCGGAACAACTGATGCTCTTATGCATGTTTCAGTGTTACTTGCCTCGAAGCGAGCATAGAAGTAATTTAGCTCGTCTGGTACGCTCGTGTCAATGGGCAGCTCGCAGCTGTTCTTCTCTTTGTAGTGTGTAATAGTTTGCATGCCCTGCCACATCCGACGAGCGACGGAGCCGGTGTAGTACGATTCGATATTAGTCCTGTATTGATGATTTGCCTCTTTGATGGTTTGTCGGAGGACATAGCGGGATTTGTTATAAGCTTCCGGGTTAGAGTCCCCCACCTTGAAAGTGACAGCTCTACCCTTTAGCTCAGTGCGGATGTTGCCTGTAATCCATGGCTTCTCATTGGGGTATGTACGTACAGTCACTGTGGGGACGACGTCATCGATGCATTTGTTGATGAAGCCAGTGACCGATATGGTGTATTCCTCAATGCCATCGGAAGAATCCCGGAACATATTCCAGTCTGTGCAAGCAAAACAGTCCTGTAGCTTAGCATCTGCTTCATCTGACCACGTTTTTATTGACCGAGTCACTGGTGCTTCCTGCTTTGGTTTTTGCTTGTAAGCCGTCCAACTCATCCCAAACTATCTCAATTGGGTTGAGGTCGGGGGATTGTGGAGTCCATATCATCTGATGCAGCACACAATCATTCTCCTTCTTGGTAAAACAGCCTTTACACAGTCTGGAGGTGTGTTGAGTCATTGTCCTGTTGAAAAACAAATGATAGTCCCACTAAACCCAAACCAGATGGGATGGTTTATCACTGCAGAATGCTGTGGTGGCCATGCTGGTTATGTGTGCCTTGAATTCTAAATAAATCACAGACAGTGTCACCAGCAAAGCACCCCCACACCATAACACCTCCTCCTCCATGCTTTACGGTGGGAACTACACATGCGGAGATCATCCGTTCATTCTTCTTCTTATTGGTGTCCTTTAGTAGTGGTTTCTTTGCTATAATTTGACCATGAAGGCCTGATTGACACAGTCCCCTCTGAACAGTTGATGTTGAGATGTGTCTGTGACTTGAACTCTGTGAAGCATTTATTTGGGCTGCAATTTCTGAGGCTGGTAACTCTAATGAACTTATCCTCTGCAGCAGAGGTAACTATGGGTCTTCCATTCCTGTGGTGGTCCTCATGAGAGCCAGTTTCATCATAGCGCTTGATGGTTTTTGTGACTGTTCTTGAAATTATCCGGATTGACTGACCTTCATGTCTTTAAGTAATGATGGACTGTCGTTTCTCTTTGCTTATTTGAGCTGTTCTTGCCATAAAATGGACTTGGTCTTTTATCAAATCGGGCTATCTTCTGTATACCCCCCCTACCTTGTCACAACACAACCGATTGGCTCAAATGCATTAAGAAGGAAAGAAATTCCAGAAATTAACTTTTAAGAAGGCACACCTGTTAATTGAAATGCATTCCAGGTTACTACCTCATGAAGCTGGTTGAGAGAATGACAAGAGTGTGCAAAGCTGTCATCAAGGCAAAGGGTGGCTACTTTGAAGAATCTCAAATATAAAATATATTTTGATTTGATTTGTTTAACACTTTTTTGGTTACTACATGATTCCATATGTGTTATTTCATAGTTTTGATGTCTTCACTATTATTCTACAATGTAGAAAATAGTAAAAAAAAATAATGAAAAGCCCTTGAATGAGTAGGTGTGTCCAAACTTTTGACTGGGACTGTATATCCTGGTGGTATACATGACACTGGGTGGGTGAGATTCTGCCCCACAATCGATCCCATGCAATTGGTATTGCTCTGCAGGTAGAATGATTTTAAATATTTTGGGCATTAGAAAGTGTTTTCCAATCTGATTGTAGATCTTAAGGATATTGAGGAGTCAGGCTTTGAGACAGGGGATGGGGAAACTCTTAAAGGGTCATTGATCGCCATTGCTGGGGACAATCTCACTATATTTGTGGGTTTACAGAAAACTTTAGCTGTACTAAGTATTTCTGCCAATACTGCTTAGTTGACAGTGTGTCATTTCAAAGAGCACCTCGCAAGCTTGGCCCAAACAGAACAATCAGTAACTATCAAGACAGTGTTGAGGAGCTGTCCACCACTGACCAAGACATAATTCAAGGGATCAAGTTTGATTCTGTGTTCAACACTTTGAACCACTTCCATGTGTGTAAAGGGCTTCCTCCTTGTCTAGGCCACAATTTCTTTAAAGGAATAGTGTCCTATGACTTGGCCCTTTTCATTAAGTATCTAGTAACTGTAGAAAAACATCACACATGTCCAGTTAAATAGGTGCATGTCACAGCTCAGACATACAGGGAGCGATGCACATAATAAGCCATGTGAGATCAAATCAAACAGAGAAAACTTGGTGGCCATGCAGCCCAGAATTTGTGTTTTCTGCGACTACTATCAGTGTATGTTGGCGATAGGATTAAAAAACACTAGACAGTGAGGTCTGGCAGTTGTGTCTCAAACTGAGGGAGATGGTTGAGCTAATTTGTGCCCACAAAATTAGTCACAATCAGATTGCATACTTGAGGGTTCTGATTCACGAATATGTGCATTTGAGAAGCATTATGATCCCTGACTCCAAACTGAAACCAAAGCATAACTACTTGATACATTACCCAGACCTCATCCTGCACTTTGGGACACTCATTCGTTTGTGGACACTGAGGTTTGAGGGCAAGCATTCCTACTTCAAGGAGTGTGACTGAAAACTTCCTAACTTTAGAAACCTGTGCAAAACATTGTCTGAGAGGCACCAGTTACTCCCATCATACTTATGCAGTGGCCAGTTGTCTCCACAAAGCATGGAAGTTGTTGGTGTCATGAATGAATTTGTGGAGCAATTATATAACGATACCATTCATGGAGCTGTACAGTCAAAAGGGTTCACAAAGCAAAGCACCGCAGAGGTGTCTACAGTTGTATACAAAGGAACAAAATACACTAAAGGCCTTGTTGTAATGGGGAAAAAATGATGACGGATACACATTTGGAAAGATCTCACTGATTCTGGTCACAGGTCCATTTAATCGTTGGGGTGTATCAGTCTGTGTCACTGGTCGATCCCGGGGTTCATTTTATACCAGATTCTGTGATAAATTATGTGTGTGTTAATGCAGATAGTCTGAGTGATTATTACCCAGTACCAGTTTATAAAGTGTTAGGTTTCTCTGTTGTTTCCCTGCATCACTCAGTGTGCTCTCCTTAAACCAGTGTAGGCACGGAGGGTATTCAAGATGCAATTAAACACCAATTGCCTGAGTTGGAGACCGAGATGCTGATATCTTTGTCGGAGCATCTGAGGGGAAATGTTTGAGTGGAGAATATTAAAGACCTTGAATATGTTCAGCCGGAGGACATAAAATACAATTTGACGCCAATACAGTGCCAGAAATTGCTTCAGTCCTTCAAGCAAAGAGGAGAGACCTGATTGATAAATGTAACATGTTCATATAATTATTACACTGACTCTCTCTCACACATACACACAAGGTTAAAAAGTAAATAGTTCATTTGTTTGCCTTCAAAATAAATGGTTTATGCTATGAGGGAGTGAGGCATATGCAATAAAAGAGACAGAAATGACCAAAAAAATACATAAAAGAAAGTAAAACAAATATACAAATGTTTCTGTAAATAGATTGTTTGTCCTCTTGTGCTGGGATGGAGTGCAGCGCATAGCCTAACAGACAGTTTTGTCTTTGTATTTGTTTTAAGACAAATGAAGAATGGATAGGTTGAATTGTTTTGGATCTGTACATAGTTTGTCATTTTCTAACGATCTGTCCCTCGACAAACATGGGTAGCCGGCGAAAATATGAAAGATTATTAGTTAATTTTGATTGTACAACATTGTGGCATCAGTGTCAGGAGAAGAAAAGTTTTACTCCTCTCGGAAGTGAAACGATATATGGGGCAATCAAATACCTTTCTGTGTCTGGAAATAATGCAGGCAGCAGTAGCCAGCCATGCAGGGCTCTACGCTGATCTTTTTTACAAGGAGTGTGTGTTGAAAATGTAGGAGTACAATGAAAAATTAGGTGTTAAATCTAGAATCCTTTACATTTTTCTAGGCACACTGCTGTTCCTAAATTAAAATTCAAGATCGCACAGCAAAAATATTAACGCGCATATGTGAGTAAAATGGTCTATTTAATTGATAATTCAATAGGACTAAGTAAATAATCTACATTTTCAGCTGTGATCATTTCTTACTTTTGGACAATCTGTGAATGAGTAGGAACATATACCACCCTAATATTTACCCTCAAATAAAAGGTGACATCATATTCATAATCTGATCTCAAAACCAAAATGCTGATGTATAGAGCCAGTGCTCTACTCTTCACTGTTCAAATACATATGGTGAGGACTGTTTCTTATACATTGTAATTTTTGCCTAAATTGTTTTATATTTTCTTCTTTAAAGATTGGTCGCTCATCATCCCCTCTGCCTTGTGAGTCAGTCAGTGGTGTGAGTGAACTGCTGTCCCCTCCTAGTCCGGCCTCTTCTTTGCCTACAACAACAACGATTAACATGAGCACAATCTGGGTCAACAACTTCCAGGTACCTTGGCAGAAGATGCCCTCCAGCCTCAAGCAGGCCATTGCCCAAGGAAAGAGGGTAGAGGCGGCAGATAGGCAGCAGATGGTGAGGGAGACTGTCGACGCCATGCGTGAGCACTGCCCTAATCCCAACAAGGCTGAATGCAGTGAAATTGCAAAATCCATTGTAACGCAGTGCCCAAAGACTTTTGGAGACCTAACCGAGGAAGGAGAACCACTTGGCAGTGGGTACCACACCATGTTCACTAAGATTAAGACCAGAGTGGAGCATAAACATTTTAACCGCACCCAAGAGGAGCAATGAAGAAGAAAGGGACATCAGCGGATTGGCAAAAACAGCAAGAACCAAGGTAGACAGTTATGGCTGCATCAACTAGCAACCACAGGACTTTCCAGAGAAAGAAACCCCTGACTCCCTAGAAAACAAGAGGTAGGCGATGGCAACCATTTTCAGCTGTGTGGGCCCCAGAGGTGCAGGTAAGAGGGAAGTGGATGACCTGATGAAGCTGACACACTTATCAACGCTACATGATCAACACTTTACCTCCTCCAATCATCAGTGACCTCCAGGAACAGTGGACTTTCCTTTTCACCAAGTTATGGCTCTGCGACCACTTCAATACCCTCACTGGCATCGAGATTGACAGTCGCCTAACTACAGCTCTCCTGAACATGGGTGAGAGAATTGTCAACTTTTTTAAAAGACCAAGTGGAGGAGAGAGATCCAGTGCTTGCTGAATGATATCGACGGTAGCATCAGAGGCAATGACGATCTAACTGCCACTGCTGCCATTCCTTTGTTGATTGTTCACTGCTGCCATTCTTCAAAGAGAAGGAGGAATCTCTGTTCCTCTTGGCAGATGTAAGGAATAGTGTTTTATACTTATAAAGTGTATATATGATTAATCATGTTTATACTGTACTACTACACGTTTTTAATATTTTTTTATGTAGTTTGGGGGATTTTAGGTCACTGCAACTCGGGTTGATGTCAAGGCGCAAAGTCCTTTGCCGGACACCCCAAGGCTGATCATGCTTGGTAATACAATTATTTGATTGTGGTACCTATCTATTGGTATCTAGTGCGTATGTACTAACACTATTACTTTTGTGTATTTCAGGAAACACTGTTGGATTCTTCAAAGTGAATGGTGTTGATCGAGGAGACAGTGGTCTATGTTTTGGACAATGAGTCCAACTTTGCTGCTGCCCTCTCTGTGCTCCTCAGCACTTTCTATCTTTTTAACATAGAATACCAGGAGTCTGCCTCTGCAACCTTGGAGCTGATACAGAGGTGAGCATTGAACATTCATTGATCCAACACTTACATTTAGCATTTGTTACAGTTACATTGCAATTATATTTCTTATTGTTATTTGTTCAATTCCTCAACTGATTTCATGTATTCTGTGTTGTGTTGTACAGGTTCCTGGTGCGAATAAACACTGAAGGAACTAAATGCACAGTGGAAGCAGGAGTGAGCCACAAGACCGGAAAGGTCGTCCAGAGGACGCCATTGCCAATTAACCCCCATTTTACACACTTCCTCGCAGACCTGAAGGAGTTTGAGTGGAGAAACTCCAATATGTAAGTATACAAACACACACACACACCTGATGAACTCATAAGCTTGATTTGTCAGTTGTCATCTTCCTTTTTACCCACCGAGTAATAGCAATAGTAATAGCAATAGCAATAGCAATATTAATAGCAATAGCAATAGCAATAGCAATAGCAATAGCAATAGCAATAGCAATAGCAATAGCAATAGCAATAGTAATAGTAATAGTAATAGTAGTAGTAGTAGTAGTAATAATCTCTCTCTTTCTATTCTTATACATAGCCCAGTATTTTCAAGAATGACCTATTCTGATGTCTTGGTTTGTGTATGGTGAAGTACATTATTGGCCAGTTTCTGTCAAAGTTCTTACCACTGTATCTCTCTCTTGCTCTCTCTCTCTCTCCTACCATCTGCAGTTGTAATGTTGCTCTTTTCAAATATTGTTATTTTTGATTAAAGTGCAATTCATGTGAAATCCATGTTATGAATTTGAATAAATATATATATATATATATATATATATTTGTACACATACTGTTTTTCTTACAATATTACATTTCAGGGAGCTTTCTTCTAAAGACAACCTGCAATGCTGCTTAGTACTGTAAAATAATTGTATATTACTGTAGGTATTTCCATGTAAATCTATAACATTATACTGGCACCAGAGTTGCAGTGGTGTGTATTCATGGAAGCCAGGCTTCCCCAATAAAAAAAATTATCTTTAGTCTCTCTGTGTTTCATAATTTTCCTTCAATTCGCGAGAGGCTGAATGTATCTCACAGGAGAAAGCATCCAAGCGAGCGAAAGAGCGCCCCTCTGTATCTCTACGTGTATGCCATCTGTCTGGTCCAAACGAGTATGACATTGTTGCCGCCCGTAGAATTGAAGGCAAGGGACGCCAGCGAGCATTTGGCCTCCCTTGATAAAAAGAGGTATACAAAATTAGCCAATCAGCATTGATCTAAACTGAGCGAGTTCAACTGTGAATGGTCCTGGCGCACCAAAACCAGTTTGGATTTTGGCGTCACGCCTATCAAATCCCATTGAGATCATACTTCACTGACAGAAAAACCTGAATTGTTGCATCTCGTTGTGTTGTTGTCCTCCAGTGGCTAGCTAGCTAAAATTGGCCCTTTCCTAAATTAGCCATGGATGGAGATAGGGATTTGGACTTGTGGCCAATGATTATAACGACGGTTCTGATCCAACCATTAATTCATACATTGTTGTGCCCCTGGCTTGAGAAGATGGAAGTTCAATTTGTAGCTAGATGTAAAACAGCTAATGTTAATTAGCTAATGTTGCCTATGAATGGAAGTTAGGCTTGCGAGCAAGCATTTTAGCCAGGTAGCACATGACAACAAAATATAAAAGTGTACTGCATTGGTGTTTCTTTACAAGTAGGGTGAATCAACATGTTTTTTTACTCGCACGAACGCGCACACACACACACACAGAAATCAGAACCATGGATAGCCACATTATATTTAGCTTACTTGTTGTTGGTATCTTTTAGTTGTAACTGTATTAGACTAAGCAGAGGTGATTTGATGATGTGAAGTTAAAATGGTACTGGAATAGTGGAGGCATGCTCCTGTTTTCTTAGCGACTTGCGGTACCTCTCTGTGGTTCTAAATCAATAGTTGTTTAGTGGTCCGAAAATGTCGGAAACATGAACTTGCTTGACCATGCTGTAGGTCATGTAACTGTCTGTAAAGCAAAATAACAGTATTAAGCTGGCAACTGTGGTGCCAGTATAATGCTGTAAATCTACAGGGGAAAGTTTTACAGTGTCTGTAAAAAAGAAAAGCATAGTTACACATCCTTTTCACAGTGCCTTATTAATGAAATAACCATTTGTAGTCTACATTTCAATACTCTTGCTAGCTTGCCACTGAGCATGAATGCCTACATTGCACTGCTTTTAATCTAAGTGGTATGGAAGTGTGGATATTGCAACAGAGCCCATTAACCGTAAATAATTCAAATTGATAATTCAAATTGAATAAATAATTAAAAAGTAATGTAGCTTATAATTGTGTCATGACATCAGTACACAAGGTAAGTAACACGTCTGTACTTTCATGTTCCATACAGTGATTGATTTTTACTATACTGTAGCCTACTCTATAGTATATCTATTTAGATATAGGAATTTGATTTATAGTTCTGTAGTTATTCAAGTGATGGAGCATTGGTATTGCATTGAGATCTGATATATAGCTTTGCACTGTATAGTTTAGCAAACCAACTGATGACTCTCTCTCAGTCAGAAAGTATGGACTGATGCTGTGATGCTGTGATGGGGTGGAAACCGACCGGGGTGACAGTCATTAAGTTTCAGCGTGGCTTTCCATTTATCAGTCAAATATTCTCATTATCGATCGCTGACCTGTGACAGGCAGAGGCTGCCTGCGGGCGGTTTTGTCAATCAGACACATGACTCACTCAGAGCTGCCTGGTGTGGCCCTGGATGACAGCTGGATGAGCTCCCTGTGTGGCCCATAGTAATAGAATAACTAGAATGATATGGCCGCTGGTTCACCCAGCACATAACATTGACTTGTATGGGAATGGTGGTTCTAGTAATTATATTTACATATCCCCAGCTCTTTTTAGTTAGGAACAGTGCTTTATTTGAGCCGAATCCTGTTCCCTCTCAGTTTTTGACAATTTTGTGCCAGGATCCGGTACCTCTCTTGGCATAAAGAATAATTGTCACTGTTTGCAATGTAAACATTATAATAAAAGCAATCAGAGTTAATTCAAGTCTCCTGCCTCCTAAAAAACGCAATGTGAAAACGTGGCTGATATATTCTACAAATGTATTTGTGTTGGGCCAGCCCGGGTTTATGGTTTGTGCAACATTGTAGCCTACATAGACCAACACGTGGCCATTGCTGTGGTGAGAGAGAGAAGCACGTCTGTATCTCTCACGGTAATAGAATGAGATTCCCTTTCTATGATCTCTCTCCATCTCTCTGCTCTGATAGATATGAGCCTGCAACTCTCATCTCTCCAGCGTTGCACTTCATCATTTATTTCCTTATAGAACCATAGCCATGGGAAGTGTGCCTGGGGTGCTGCAGCACCCCTGATAAATTGAAATACATTTGCCAAAGTTATAGAATTACTGCTGTCTGTTCAGAAATAAATGAAATCATTCCGAATAGTACACCAGGAGTAAGCCTATAATTTAGCCACAGACGATCAATAGCTTACTGTAGGCATGCGTTGTGCCCAATTACAACGCATGCCTACAGTCGGGAACGCGCTGCAAATCTGTCAGTTAACAGTATGCAGCCAAAACAGGCCTTTCGCAATATTTCAAATATAATCACGGGAAAACACAGATTGGAAAGCAAATGGATCCTGCTGAAAAGAGATTACTAATCTGTCTGTAGGCTGCCAAGTTATCAACTTCCAAATACGCCTATTGAGCGAACAGCATTGTTTGACAAAATAAACAAGAGAGATAAGCTTTTGGCACCAGCGCATCGGCCATCTCAGGTGAGTGGGTGCGTCACTGAAACTTTTTTAGGAATATAATTTCCTCCTCAAATTGTACAATATGTGTCTCCACACACCTAGGCCTGGGCTATTGATGGATTCAAGACAAGGTCTGCAAAAGTGTTGCCCTCCACTTCCTGGAGGACCGAGTTTTGAAATCAGTGGAATGTCCGGTGGAAGCAGAGTACGGTAGCTAAGGACATGGAGAAAATTCTGACGTTTGATTGCAAATATGCGGAGGGAGTCGAAAAGAAAACACACAGAAGGCTGTTGTATAAAACACCTGTCACCGGATTACATGTTAAAACTAAGGGCAACCATGGCATTTGTGAGAGGGAGAAGCGTTCATCCATGTACAGTATATGGGTAAGAGAGTCTAGCTAGCTACATTTTCAGATATTATATGTTTCTAATTTAGTCAGAAAGTCATTTTCATTGCAAGTTAAAGTGTACTGTTAGCTAGCTAGTATGATCTTTGTAGTAATATTATTCGTATCTCAGAGGCATTTGCATTGCTAGTTATAGCCTAATATTAGCTAGCTAGCTAACATTGTATCTAGTTGGTTAGCTACCTGCAGATTCATGCAGAGTAGTAACATTATGAGTTGGGATTATGGTTCATTTTCTAGCTAGCTAGCTAGCTAGCTACATGTCTAAACAAAAGACTCCACTATGCATGATACCATTTCAATATACCGTTTACAACTTCTGTATCCTCTGCATGTGACAAATAAACATTGATTTGATTTTATATAGTGTGTGTTTACAAGAGACGGTAATCTGAAGAACAACATGACCTGCACCAAAGTCAAATTAGGATATAACGTTAGGCCAACGAGACAGTGTCCAAGTTCTAAAATTCTCCGGTAGAATGCCCTGTTTTTATCTCGTCACACTCACAGCCGTAAGCTGTTTTCTGTAATTAGCTTGCCATTAACTTGTAAATAATGATCTCGTTGTGAGTTTATTTTCTTGTAATAATGAATACAAATTATCTAAAGTTAAGACGGTGTCAGCTATATGATGTGTTCATTATTTGAACTGGCTAGCCAGCTAACTTAACGTTAGCTAGTCTTGAGTGTGTCTCGAGTGAGCCCCATCTCAGTAGGCTACGTCCTGGATACTCGCACCAGACCCGTCTCAGCGAGGCTGGAAGCCCATCAATTCAGAGTTTAACATTGGCATGCGTATTCAAAAGTCCTCCACCTGCTTTTCAGTCTTATTTCATAACAGACACAGCGAATAGAAATGGTTTACACAGGCCTACACTGTGGAGTTGCTTGTTTGTCAAGTCATGAACAATACAGTGAAATGGTACCTTGCATAGTGGAGTCTTGCTATTCTGTATTCTAGGCCTATATAATTGTATAAAAAACTGATTAATTCCCGAAGCTGTTCATGAGCTATGTCATTTATTTATCAGCTGAATAGAGCTTGCGAGCTTGTTACCTCTGGTTCATTCAGCCATCCCTATGGGGAAAATTAATGGGGAAGGAATAGGTTTTTGGGAT